AATACTTTGGCCATCTCATGAGAAGAGAGGACTCCCTGGAAAAGACCTTGATTTTGGGAAAATGTGAAGGCAAGAGGAGAAGGGGACGACCGATGACGAGATGGTTGGACAGTGTCATCGAGGCAACCAACATGAATCTGACACAACTCCGGGAGGCAGTGGAAGATAGAAGGGCCTGGCGTGCTCTGGTCCATGGGGTCACGAAGAGTCGGGCACGACTAAATGACTAAACGAACGAACTTGACAACATCTTAAGCATGGTCAAACAGTACTAAAACATGTGGAACACAGATTTTTCTGCCCGGTCAATGGGACCCAGAATACCACTAGAAAGTTTTACAAGTAATAGAGACCTGTGATTCCCAAAGACAACTTATGAACCACCTACTAGCACACTCTGCTGCTGATTTTAAAGTGCCTGTCCTTTGACATACAAATTTCAAAGGTGGGCTCCAACCACTTACCAAAAGGTTCTGAGCAGAGATGATGGGTGCCTCCCTTGCTCCAGATGTTAAATTAATTCAGCATTGCTTAAAGTTGATTGTGTTACTTGTGCTACTGTGAGAGGTGCTTATTTCTCCTGTGTTTTATTTGCATACATTCTACTGTGCCAATAAGGGAAACAGTTCTACTGAATGACTAATCAAGTACAATTTTTGAGTAAAGTAATGGATTGTTATCTAATCTGCGAAACAAGCCTAAGAGAACTCTTTGGCTGGCCAACTCACACGGGTTAAAGTATGTGAAAGAAATATCACTTTACAAAGAAACAGACAAACGGTTAAAACAACAACAAAGGAAAATTATGAACTGGAGTATTGCTCAGCAAAATAACAGGCACTTCTTTTCACAGAACCAACCATCAGCGCATCTGTGTTAACCCCAAAGCTGAGTTCAAGTCTGAATCAGCTCAGACTTGGAACTAGGCATTCAATGCCAGGAGAGTCCAGGAACTGGTGAAGAGGACATGTTTCTGAACTCACACAAACCTTTGCTACCCAGGCAAGCAGAAAACATTTTAAATGATGACGAACGACTTTCACAGCATGAAGTGATACTTCCAGGGATTTTGAATATCTGCTCAGTATGTTCAAATTTCAAAAGACAGTATTTTTGCCAATAACTCTGAACTTAGTCGAATAAGATTTGATGAAGCAGCCTTGCAAATAAGCCCCCTCCCCACTGCTAGCCTGCCATTATTTTTACTAATATGCGAAGTTGGGCTTCTTCCCAACTATGAAGCATGGCAGCAGAGGGGAAGAGAGGTATGTCACAGCTTTCCCTTCCCTTGCAGTCAGCGTGGATAAACAAAGTAGGCTGGTAGAGAAGAAATGTGGGGGTTTAGCCCTCCTCCACCAGCTTACTGATCTGCCTGCATGACATTCTTTGCTTTCCATGGCTACTACAAGAGTTTTTAAACAAATGACCAGATAAAAAATGTTTTAAGTAAAGTGTTTTTTTGTAACTCACAGATACTGTGAAGAGACTATGGACAGACCTACGGAGTTACTGCTGAATGGAAACTCCCACTGGATGCAGTTACCACAAGGGCTGCCACTGCACAAGAGGTGAGCACCATCAAGAAAACTCAACTCTGCTTGCCCAATGGCAATAATAGTGCAACTGGTATAATGCTGCATTACTGCACTGGTGAGAATTTCTGCTCAGCAGATGATAAATAGAATCCTGGCATACAGTTTCTTTTAAACAACAACAAAGCCTTAGCCCAGATCTAATACTGGCAATATTCTGTCCATATACTGTATAGTGGATGGAGGAGAACAGAAAAGGTGGAATAAGCTTGCTCACTGTGCCTCCTACGAGTAGGACCAGCCTGGGTGACCTTGGGTAAACTGCACAGTCCCAGGATGTCCATGGAAGGAGGGTATGGTAAACCAATTTTGAGAATTATTTACCTGAGAAACTATGAAAAAGGTTGCCGTAAGGTAGATTTGACTTGACAACACATGATTGCTATTAGTGGCAGTGTGTGCCCATCTGTCAGAAGGCACAGAGAGAACTTTCACAAGGCTATCATAACCCTACATTCAATCCCAGTTACCCAGGTATTACCCTGCCAATATTTACCAATACAGTGGTGCCTCACTTAATGACATTAATTCGTTCCAGCAAAATCGCTGTAGAGCGAAAACGTCGTAAAGCAAAAACAAAAAACCAATTGAAACACAGCAAAACCCAGTTAATGCGTTCCAATGGGCTACAGCAAAACCCAGTCAATGCGTTCCAATGGGCAAAAACTCACAGTCCAGCGAAGATCCTCCATATAGTGGCCATTTCCGGTGCCTGTATAGTGAGGAATCCGTCCCTAAGCACTGTGGGGAGCCATTTTGAGCATCCAGCTGCCATTTTGAAAACCCGATGATCAGCTGTTTTGATTGTCGTAATGCGAAGAATCGGTTCCCGAAGCAGGGAACCGATCTTCGCAAAGCGAAAAAAACCCATTTAAAACATCGTTTTGTGATTGCAGTTGCGATCGCAAAAACATTGTCATGAAGCAGATTCATCGTAATGCGGGGTAATAGTTAAGCGGGGCGCGACTATACATCTTTTTTCTCTTTTATTCTTTAGGTGAGACTTCCCCTAAAGACCTCACCCCTCACCTGGGGCTCTCCGACCTGTTTTGACTACAGTTCACATCATCTCTTCCAACATAACTGATGACACTGGCACAATGGGAGTTGTAATCAAACCCATGTGGAGGGAATTGGGGTAAAGACAGCCATACCTTTTCCCTGTCTAAGCACTAAAGTGTACATTTGTTCTGTATATTTATTTTGATGGAAGAGCAGGGCCTTCTATTGTATGCTTACTAGAATCTAGAATAAGGAAAGGCTGTCATTAGTACTGGCAAATGGGTAATCATTACACTTTTATATGAAAAGTACCTACTGTACACCCAAGTACTATGTAAGGAAATGTTAAGCTGAAATAGTTAATTTTCCCAGTAATAATAATAATGAATTTTTATTACTGAAAAACAAGGTTTTCCTATGAGATGGGCATCTATCTAGAGTTCCAACGAGTGAGTTACAAGAATGCATTCATTATACAATAAACCAGTAGCCTGAGAAAATTCTTGCAACAGATTTTGCAGCGGTCAACCTGTCAAAGTTGTCACCTCTTATGTGCAGATCTGATGCTCCAACCAGAAGCACAGCAAATCAATAGGTTTGCACAAGAGTCTCTGCAAACAACTATAAACCCAGTGGGAAATGCAAATCAAGCTGAGGCCCTGGTCACATGAGGAAAATATTTTCTAGTTCTTCCAATACTTTCCATACCTCTGTTGTACTGAATCGTGATCACGTGGTTCACATCCTGGGATGAACTTCCTAAGAACCTTTAGCAGTATTGATTTATTTCTTCCTATTTGAATTGTTATGGCCAGCTACACCATGTTACTGATGTGTTTTCTCTTTTGTTTCAAGGGGCAATTTAGCCTTTTGATTTATATCAATCGATCGATCAATCAATCAATCAATCAAATTTATCAATTCATTGATATATCAGAAACAAGGTTCCCTCTAAAGTGCATGACTGCACGTCTGCCCCTCTGCCCCTCCCCATAGCTTTCCTCCTCCCCCAGCAATCATTTCCAGTCCCTTTTGTTCCGACTGGAAGGGAAGGGGGGGACTCTCGCATGCTGTGAGGTGGAGCCCTGCCCTGCAGGCCTGAAAATTAGAGGGAACATATATAACGTGTGTGTGTGTGTGTATACACAAAAGATACTTGTCTGTCTTTCAGCCAATAGCTGGAACTTAACTATTTCTACAGAGACACCAACAGTGAGCCACTATTTCTGGAGGTGCAAAAAGGTTTCCAAGCCATTCAGGGCACTGCAGGCAAGTAAGATGTTTTGTTCTCTTCTGGACAACTTTGTTTTCCCCTGAACTGAACCAGCTATTCTGGTCTTGGTACATAACAATGCTATGTTTTGCCTTTAATAAAAGCAGGAAAAATGTCACAGTTGCTGCAGGAAAACACATGTTACACTTCATGACATCAGGCAGTTAAAATGTATAGTTGGTACACAGAGTTCTCTCGGCAACATCACCAGAACTATGCTGGATTTACATCAGACGAGACTGTAAGTACAAAATGTCCCAGCCCTTGTAAATGGGAGCGATATAAATATTGCTATCAGAAGCTTAACTACTGCCTTTCTTGATAGTTGTGGTTGCTGAGCTAGTAATCCTCACATACCATCAAAGAAGTGTTTGGTCAGTGTTAGATTATGAACAGAAGAACTGGGGGATCAAGGGAACTTCAACCTTGCAGTTTATGAAAAGGCAGGTCAATGACCTAACAAAACGCAACAAAATTAATTTGGTGCGGTGTGTGTTTCTTCTGCCTTTTAACAATGCCCTGTGGAATTTGAGCACCTGATACTGCTTAAGCTCTACAGAGCAAAAGCTTTTGCCAGCACAAACAGCTCAGGCATGTGGAGACAGAACCCTTTGTTCAGTTTTGGGGAGACTGAGGCCAGAAGAAGATTTGGGCGTCTCCTTTCTTCCACCATAAAAAGCACTGGGGCTGTTTGAGGTGACAGGTTTGAGGCATTATGTCGCCATCCTGCACAAGTAATGACAGAATGACTGGCTGTGCTATCTCCTGTACTAGAGAAGAGACAGAAGGGTGCAGGAGAAATACAATGATATCATCAGTACATACTGCTCTGGTCTATCTACAGAATGACAGCCTATAAACCTTGGGTGACCTGACAGTCACTGCAAAACAGGCTGGAAGACGGTGGTTTTCTGGCATGCAATTAGGTTTGCTGCTGAAAGACTGGGCTTACTGCCCTGGGGTTTTCTGCTCAAATAATCACTGCTTGCAGACGTTACTTTTTCTGAATTATAATTGCCAGATGCACTGTCATGCCCCAAGAGATTCCAGGAGGAGGAGTCAGAAAAAGGAACGTTCCAAACTTTGCAAGTAATCCTTCACCAAAGCAAAACTCTTAACCCAGAAGCACGTACCGTAGTGTCCACAGCGGTGATCTTCTCAACGGGAATGTGTTTTGGGGTGGGTTCCTTTGCAGAGACCATGACACAACCCTCTGGGCCCAACGTTACAATGGCAGCCTTACAGCCTCTCTCCAACAGGACAAGTCCAACACGCCCAGCATCTTCGTTATTACCAACTGAAATCCCTGTTAGGATTTCTGCCTTGGAGAAAACAAGGCAAAATTTGTAAAACAAATGAACAGAAACCTATTCTGATAGCGCGGTATCTATTTAAAGACAAATGAACCATTAACGACTGAATAAATGTCTAGAGATTATTAGTACACAAGGTTTGTGTGCTATTATCTGATCTACTAAGGGACAGTGCATAGTAGAAAACAGAGAGGTGAAGTACAGTAGTTCCTTTGGAAACACAAATTAATGACTGCATTTTCATTTCATTTTTTGAAAAGGAGGTATAGTACTGAGCAACTAGCCTTAAGCTGTTCAAATGAAAACTAACATTATAAGCTTTATCATCTGATTGTACCCTAAACTTGCTTTGGAAATCTGTCCTGTAGATCCCCTTATGCAAGCCTGATATATCCTTGTACAGGTATCCAGAGGAAAAATTAAGGGCACATTCTCTTCCATCCCTGAGACCTGCTGCAACCACCCTCTCTACAAACTACAAGACTAGGAGTGGCTGGATGTGCACTTCTGGTTTTTAATATATATCTTATATAATATATATTTATCTTTATATATATATATCAGTATCAATAGGGATATATATCAATAGGAATATGTGTCTGGGGTGTGTGTGTGGGAGGGCCCTGTGTCTGCAAAAAAAAAAAAAAAGAAAGGAGGCAATCCAGGATGTTTTCAAGCAGCCCAGGATGTTTTCTGTCTCAATGTAGATAAACCAATTATCTTGAAGAACTTATTGTACTGTCTCAAAAATAAAATAAAGTAAAATGAAACCCTATGGGGCTGCCCCTGGCACTTTCCACTACTCAGAAAAATGGCGACTGTGCAAACAATACCACAATGAATTCTTCCATGGGAGGGTGGCAAGCAAAATGTAAACAAAGGCATATATAGTGCTTCTTGTTGATTCTGTGGTTTGGGATGATACTTCAGCACAGAACACTGGGTTTTCCTTAAGTACATGGAGTACTCAAAGTCTTTGATTATATCTCCATTTGGACCCAAGTCTGTGGCGTACACAGTGGTGGTGGCAGTGGTGGATTTACTAAAACATTTACTAAAACACTGAATGCCTCCAGGAGTTTCAGCTTCATCTGCACAGAGATACAGCAATAACTGAGGAAAAGGGGGGAAATCAGGACACCACAGAACAGGCAGAGAGCCATTTCCCCGCAAAGGTAGCAGACACTAGACAGAGGTTACGTGCCAAAAGTTAAAATGTATTATCACATGTCAACTATGGCCTTAAACATAAAACTGCTGGGCTGTGTTGGAAAGTTCCTCCCTCCAATAAACTTAGGAAAAAAGCCCCCAAAACAAAACCTTGGTACAATTGGAGGAAATAACTGATGGCAGCTTTTAAAAAGAAATGAAACAAAGCAACAGGAGGCCAAGAAAGATCTTTTTAATAGCTCCCTGTGCTTAAACATACAAGAAAGGAGCCTTTCTTTCTTAAAATCACAGAAGAGTCATACAGTGACAAACAAATGTTTAAAATATATAAGACGTATGGAAATTATTGATTATGTTACATAATCTATGAACATTTCTAGGCAGCATTGTAGATAATGCAATACCATAGATGCAAAATAAATACCAATTCAAGGGAAAAGCTACACATGGCCCTCCAGATATTGTTGGGCAGCAAATCCTATCCACTTTGGCCAGTATAGCCAATGGTGAGGAAAGCTGAAAGCTGCATTGCAACATCTGGAGGACTGCATTTTTCCCTCCTCTGATCCAAACAGAAAATGCAGATAATAATTCAATCGCTTAAAGCCTGGTACAAGCTACATTTAAACAAACTTATTTCACTCACTCTTTCATGTAGATATCGGACATGTCAAACCTTTAGAGACATGACCAGATATGTCTCTAAACGTTTCAGCTTTTAAAAAAATGACCAAACAACCATATGCTCTCCAATCTGACTTCAGTCCTTTCAGCTCATTAATGTTTGAGACATTCTTTACTTGTGTTTTAGCTCAGACATCAGCTGGAGGGTCTGGTTGCCAGTATACCCATGGTTGTTCCCACCTCCTCCTGGTAAGTCTATATATTTTACTCACGACTGTGTGGCTATACACCACACTAGTGGCATAAATACAGATGTATGTAACTGTTCATTCTCTCCTAACCACAGTCCCATCCAGGCATTTAAAGTTGCAGAGTGACCAGGGAGATAGTTGTAGACCCCCACCCCACCTACCACGGTTTCTAGAGGAAGAGGGACTTGACTGATGAGGAATGCTTCTGCTACACATAGAGTCTCTCCACACAATGAGGGGACATGAAAAATGTGGACAGGTTCCTTGTTCATATAGACAGTGATAGGCAAGCATGCGGGGCTACACTCCCCCCCGGCTCACAGTTTCCAAGTACAGTGGTGCCTCGCATAATGAGCACACCGTTTAACGACGAATCCGCATAGAGACGCATTTTTTGCGATCGCTAATGCGATCACATTGCGATGTTTAGATAGGCTAAACATTGCATTGCGATGATCGGTAAGCGTTTCACTTACTGATCTTCGCATTGCGATGTTTAGAAAACAGCTGATCGGCAGTTCCAAAATGGCTGCCCGCAGCATTTTTGCGCCCTGTCCTCGCTTACCGGGCAGCGAAAATGCCGGCCAGATGGGGGAATCTTCGCTTACCGGTGAGTTTTTCCGCCATAGAAACGCATTAAACGGATTAACGCCGCTATGCGGGGCACCACTGTAATTCGTTTCTAAATACCTGAATAGGATTCCTTGAAGATTGGGGGGTATGGGCCTTATAATGATCATAGGAACACCTATGCCACTCCAGATAACATGTAAATTGTCCCTTCATCTGAAATCATTAGCAACAGGCTGCAACAAGGAAAAGTAATGGAGATCCTGCTTCCCTTGGATATTTGCTCTATTTTGTGTAAATATTATTATTTACCATATTTTCCCGTGTATAAGATGCCCCCATGTATAAGACGCCCGCCCACTTTTCTAACCCAAAATTAAGAAATCTAAGGGGCTTAGCAAGCAGAGGGGAAAGCAGGGATCAAAGCCCTGCAGGATCACTCTGATCCCTGCTTTCCCCTCCACTTATTTTTGCTCTTTCCTCAGCTTACCTCCATATATAAGACGACCCTTAATTTTTAGTCTAAAGATTTTAGACAATAGTCTTATACATGGAAAAATAAGGTATTTAATTCATTTAAAATATTTTTACCCCACCTTTCTCCTTGAAAGGACCCAAGGCTGCCCCACCTCTGCTCTATATGTGAACCAGGCAAACATAGTTTTATCATGTCTTGCAGCCCCAAGAGATTACAGACGCCCTGAGAGTAGGGATCTGTGTTTTTTTAATTTATGGAACTTCATAAAGTATGATGGACATTAATTTTCCTTTTGAGTTTGAAACAATTTAGCCATACATAACCTTAGTTTTGGCTCTCACAGGCTTTAAACGTGATATTCTTATTCTGCATTTCTTTCATCAGAAGTTTCAGGAAGAATAGAGACCCAGCACATTCCTGGGCAAACCTCAAGGATTAGGCTATGCTACATCTGGTGCACAGTGAATTAGCAAGCCAGTTTCAACAGGCTTGATCTTTCTGGGAAAGATGCAGGGAGGGGAGGGGGAGGACTAAAACTACAAGCTAAGCAAAAAAACAGGAACTGATAACCTTGCATCTTCAAAGTACTGTGCAAGAGCAGCCTACGAAGTATTAAGAGCGACACAAATAAAAGTTATTATTGAAGCAATAAAATATTTTGTTAATTTAAGGGGGGGGGGAACCCCACAGCTTGTGAAATGTCCTTTGTGGTAGATGGCACACTGATATCAAGCCCCTGTTTTTGCTTCATCTTAGCACAAAAATTCATGAGGAACAAAATGTTTGAGAATGCCAAGTATCTGTGGTTGCCTAAGTGCTCACAGTGTTCAGTGGACAGGCACCATAAAGCACGTGCTCCTCTCCAATAAATACTCAGGGGAGACTGCTCACATGGCAAAATTTGCAGAACTTTTGATATTCCCAAGGCTTAGGAATGCCGCAGAAGGCTTTCATGCCTCTGCTGCTGAGAAGAGAAATAACAGAAACTTCCTGTCCTGTAACCATTATCATCCACTCCTAAATGGCTAGTAACATGAACACCATGAGAGTTAAGAAGGCGTGGATCAAAACTTCAGTTTGTGCTGACGCTGTGGCACACATTTCCACTTCCCTTTTAAAAACGTGGCCAGTCTTCACAAAAACAACAACAACAAAACAGGTGGAGATTAATTTGGGTGCATTCTGAGCAGCCTTTTCCTTTGTGGATATTGTATTAAGAGGATGATTGGCAGCCAGTTCTTTTTCCTTTCACCGTGTTTCAGTAGGTAAGTAGATCCATATGTTATACCCACTGGCCACTTCAATTTTGAATTAAGTACCCAGTAATATTAAAAGGCTGGGCTTGTATCACTAGGTCTCCGTTTCTGCTGACATCAGAGGAGTGACTACGTGACAACTCGTAATTCCCCTTTGAACAGCAGCAAGAGTGTGGGAGTCCTGGGCAGCAAACTGCTACCTTCTGCTAGTGGGTAGATAATTGCACATGTTGGGCCAGAAGACTGGTGAGCATTGAAAAGAACAGAAAAAGTATTTCTAATTGTCTTCTGAGCCGGCGAGGAACAGGAAGCCACATTATTCCTTTGATCCATCAAGCCTGGTGTTGGCAACACAGACTGAATTTTGTGATGCCTAGACTTACTCTGGGACCTTCTGCATACTCATAAACTCCGCTATGGAGCTAAAAAAAATGTATTTATGGGGGTGGGGTAGGAGCAGTGAGACTCTACATTTAATTGGCCACTATGGCCCTCCAGAACTTGTTATTTGCAGCTCCTAGCATCTTCAGCACTGGCTATAATGGCTACGGTTGATGGAAGTTGGAAGCCTACAACATCTGAAGGGACCTAGTCACCCACCCTGATGTACAATTACTATAGCCTATTCCTCCCATTTTATGTTGCTCAGGCATTAAGATTGTCAGAGGATGCCTGTTAGTGGGAAAAATAAACACTCCATTTACAAAGGAAGGAGGGTTTTTTTTCTGTGGTGGAACTCCAGCCTCTAACAATCTCCTAATGGCAACACAACTGCATCAATCTTGCTTTATTTTCATTATCATTTTTAACAAACCTTTGATATCCTGAATTTTAAATTCAGCTGTTGAGCTTTTGACTGTTGTGTTTCATTGTTGATGATTGAATTGTTCTTTTAAAATATCATATATACCAGCAGTCCCCAACCTTTTTGGGACCGCGGACCAATTGGGGGGGTGCGGGCTCCATGTGCGGGTGAGTGTGTTGCACTCACGGAGGGGTGTGTTGCGCTCACAGAGGGGAATGTAACACTTGCGCACAAGCGCAACACACCCACCTGCAAGTGTGACACGCCCACCGTCCATGCATACAGTCTCCGTGGCCCAGTTCAGGAAGCCCACGGACCTGGACCGGGCCACGGATTGGGGGTTGGGGACCCCTGATGTATACCACACCCTGGATCTCATTTGGATGGTGGCTAGTTTATCCATTTTAAAAACAAAAAACAAGCAAATGAAAAATCCAGCACCTATCTAACTGCATTCTGGCAGCCTTTCCCCCTTCTATTTAATGTTTTAATCAATGACTTCATAGAATCATAGAAAAGTGAAGTTGGAAGGGGCCTACAAGGTCATCAAATCCAACCCCCTGCTCAATGCAAGAATACAATCAAAGCATATCTGCCCGGTGATTATCTAGTATTTTCTTGAATGCCTCTAGTGTTCCTGGAGCAACTTCCTCTCCTTAAAACAGGCAACCAAGCTGCTGAATTAACTTCAGACCTTATCTACATGGGACCTCACACTTCATAACATGCTGAGTTCAATGGAAGGAAGGTGAGTTCAACATGACTAGGCTAAACAGAGGCTTTCTTATTCCTTGGACACAATTCTTCCCTGACTCCTATGCATGCAGAAGAATCGGTATGAGAGAGACCCGGGCTTGGAGAACTGCAATCAGGCTTCTTCTCTCAGAAAAAGATTCTTGGGAATATAATATGACTGGACGACGCTTTCCACTCTTTCAGACAGGATTCTGCCCCAGCAGCACTTAGAGATGCTTGAGGATCTGGGACTGTTCACAGACAAAGCAACTGCTCTGCCACTGGATTACAGTAATTGGAGGAGGGTAGACGAGATAGCCTCCAACTCCATTAAGTCAAAGATGGACAGCTGTGCCTTGTGGACATGGTATGGAGGAAAGAGGACAAACTCCAGAGTGATTCAGCAACATAGTTGGCCATTCTATATACTGCTTTAAGTAAGGCAGTGTTTGGGTGCTGTTTCACCTTTGTCTTGCCTATAGGCTTTCCACAGCCAACTGGTTAGATGTGGTAGGAATAGAATTCTAAATTAAATTATTATGGTATGCTGGGTTCAAAACAGTTCTTCTGATGTTGAGTCTTTAGTTTAAAATGCACTCTGACGACAGTACTGTTTATGTTTTGTTCAGTTTTGGAAGCCACAACAATCAGTAAGGTGGGAGACGAGGATCTGTGGGAGACTCATGAGTTCTGAATCCAGTGATCTCCACATCATGCCAAATAAAGACAGCCACACAAAAGGCAGTATTGGTAGAACCTGAATATGTTCTTTCAATTCAAAGGCAACACATGCCATTATTATTTTCCAAGTTTTACTTAACTAGAGTGTCCAAAATCACTACTATGACAACTGAACTTACCTCTGTTTCATTGCAGCAGATGATGTCAGAATGGGTATAGAACAGTGGGTCTAGGTCAGCAAGAGCTGGAGCAGGATTAAACAAAGTCTTCACTGCAAGAAAGTGGAAAATGTTGTCTAAATCAATGGCATGTAATGCCTGAAGATGGATAATTGGCCAGAACCCAGCAAACATTGTGTTGTTATATGGTTCAGGCAGTTTCAGACCTACATTTCTTCCCAGATATACAAATGATTTGCAGATGCTACAAATTCCAACAAAATAGCCTATTTTCTAGCATTACAGAACAGAGTACATTGCAATAATGTTCGTTTAGGCAATGTTTTCACAAGAATATTCAAGCCCGCAGATGATCATTGTGTTTCTGTCATCAAAGAAAGCAGAGAGGAATATTAATTAGCAAAATGAAAGCTCTGTTGAATTTAGAAAAAAAGAAAGTTCAATTCATATTCATTTCTTTAGTACTTCTTGAAGACACCTATCCAAGAATGACAAGGTGATTTGATGCTGTTGATTTAAAACTCAACTCCATTTAGCAAATGGAATTCTGTGAAAAGACCAAGCACAAGATTCAGTTCTTTCTCAGGAGAGGCTGATTCACTAGGGCCACAGATCCTGCTGTGTTCCTCTCTTAGTGAACCCCTAAGCTTGCACTCTGTGTGAGCAAGCATTATTGTATGTGTGTGTGTTTGTGTTGGGGGTAAGGGAGAGGGAGGGGGAGAGAAAGAGAGAACAAATGTGGTGAATGAGTCAACTGCCTTGCTTTAAAACTAGGGATAGAGGGAAACAATGGGAGGTAGCAATGTTTCTAATTTGCAGACTAGCCGTATTTTTGCTCCTTAGAAGAATGAACAGGATGAGGCAATGTTTGCCTGAATACATGTACATGTGTATATGTATGTGAGTATACACCTATGTGTGTCTAGTAATACCTGCCTTTGCACTGAATCTGCCTATCATACCTGGCTGCTCTACTGTTGGCTACTGTGCTTTCTGCCCTACTACCTTCAATTGGTGCCACTGTTACTGCCCTTTATTTGTGTTGTTGGCTAGTACCACAGGACACTGAATACACTGATCTCATCAAATTCTGGAAGCTAAGCAGTATCAGGTCTGATTCGTACTTGGATGGGGCTCTACCAGAATTAGCAAGGATCTCTACCTAGGATGACAAAAGTGTGCTTCTGGGTCAGAGGTACTGATAGTCTGATTTGGAATATGACAGCACTCTGTGTTTCCATCATATGCAGAAGAGTATCCTTCATCTCAGAATCTCTTTCGAAGACAGCTGGACTTTCTGACCCCTACTGTATGGATTAACCTATACAATATAATCCAAACCAATTTCCAGATTAGAAATCTAACATGCAGTGTATGATTTAGGTAACTGTGGGCACCCTTCAACCTTCAGCTTGAGGGAATAAGGAGAAAAAGCAAATGGTTAAGGACCCCTTTTTCCTATGATGGGTTGTTAACATAGAGAAATAAAAAAAGTTAGTTCAGTGGACAGAAGCAAAATTAAATCAAAGTGCTGCAATCACTGGGATGCTGGGTTAGAGTTCAATCGAGATCCAGAATGAGCAGTGTCGTGGGAAAATGGGCAGAGTCTGGAAGACTGGGCAGGACTCTCTCTCTCTCTCTCCCCCCCTGCCCCCAATCTTGGTAGGCTGCATGTAGAACAGAGAGGTTCCCCACACCAGGCGTAGAATGTAGAAAACTCCCTACTTCCAGATACCATTGGCAAACTTCTGGAAATAGTTGAAAACAGTCTTCATTCAGAAGAATCTGCTGCGGCAGCTCTTGTTTTTCTTTTGCATCACAACTTCTATTTAGCATCCATTAACACCTCTTCCCTATCTACTAACATGCCAGACAGGGACAGAACAACACTCCATGGCCCCAAAATGCATGCTATTTTTATTTTGGTAACTCAAAAAGACAACATTATTTTCCATTACGGTACAAAAAACAGTATGTAAATAAATAAGAAATTCAATTCCTAAAAAAATGACTGGTTTAGGAATGTGGGATATTGTGCTTCTCTATCCCTGGCACAGAATGTCAGGAAAATGTTTTCCTGCTGCTATGTTGCCTGCAGGAAAAAGAATGTTAAACTCTACATAGCAAAGGATAGCTTGAATGTTGACAACACCAATGTCATCAATGACATGGTCTATAGCAGTAGTTCCCAACCTTGGGTAACCCAGATATTCTTGGATTGTAACTCCTAGAAACCCCAGCCAGCATAGCTGGTTATGAAGGCTTCTGGGTGTTGTGGTCCAAGAATACTTGGGTTACCGATGGCCGGGAATCACTGGTCTACAGAATGCCCTCTTGTACTCACTATCATTCACAAAGAGACACCAAGCAGAGCGTGATTTTTTTTCATCAGTTAACCACTTCTCAGCCAAACACAAAACAACATTCAGGCCTGTTTTTCAACAAGTTATCTAGGTAGCTATTGCTTGGGGGAACAAAGTAATCAAAACACCTAGGAGAAATGTGTCTTTCAGATTAACATGGGTACTCAGGTCCATGTCTGTGCAGCTGGAAATAGTGGATTGTTAATCCCCAAGCAATTACATACATTTGAAGTGCTTCTCTGCCTTGCAACCTGGTGCACAACACTCCCAGCCATCTGTACTGAGAAAGAAACCTCAGCTATGTTCCTTCACAACCTGTAAGTGATGGTGCTACAGACAACCAAGTGCTTGAACTCTTGCCCTGTGATTATTTGACCTGTGAATGTTGTGAATAGTGTCCAATATATCAGATATTAGGCTGGTATCGTAACCACTGACACTGAATGTCAGTCCTTTTAATGCACTAGTATATGCACTGAGCACTGAACTTTAGTAGAGGGTGTGGCTCTGCCATGACCAGGAATGGGCAGCACATAGGGTGCATGGTCTTCCTGTTTTGAATTGGCTACAAAACAAAGTGTAACTTCTTTAAAAAACAAGTCCCACAAGGAGTGTGAAGCTTGTTTTAAAGCACAGAAGCCTGCAGAAAATGTCATTCATTTTTAAAACAGGGTATATATTCTCTGTGCGATGTGTTTTTAAAGAAACTGTGCTTTGTTTTGCTGGCAGTCGTGAGATGCAACCTCTCGCTGGCTCAAAGAGTGACTTGCACCTTTTCATACCTATGGAAGTTGCCCTCTCTTGCTTTAGCCTATGCTGAGAAGCTGGGGCCTAAAATGTTTTAACTTCAACTGTTTCCCATGTAACCATCTAAAAGGAACAAGAACAACAGCATTCACATCAAAGTGCTGCAGTCACTGGGATGGTAGGTTAGGTGACCGAACTTGACATCGCACCAGTCAAAAGCAGAAGCCTACGTTTGTAGAAATGCCACTGTGGTGCTCTTTAATGACCAGTGGTAGAACAATGACACAATGCCAAGTGTATTGATTTGTAGCCTATAAAACCAAGACCAGTGAATGTGAACAAGAGGGCTTATGACCACAAGCTTCTGTCTCCTCAGGTCCCTCTTTCTTCTAGCTGTGACATCTGGCGTGTATTTGTTCAATACAAATAGTCTAGTGTGCTTCCTAACATAAACTGTTGCATTAAACATGAGGAGTCTGCAGACTAAGGGAAAGGAACTAAGGGAATTAAACAACACACTGTAGTGGAAGGAGTATTTTAAGTCTCTACAATGTTAACAAAGCATTTATGGAGACACGATTATATGAGGAGACTTGGCTTTTTTGCCTGTCATTTTAGGGCACAGGTAAGCAGAGATTTGCTAGAGTTTGGGCCTCCCTTTGAGGAAAACAGAATGGAACAGACTCCTTGAGTGGTCCTGATCTTCCAATGTGGTAGTTGCCTGCACTAACTTGTGAATGCCTTTTTTGTTTCTTTTTGGATGTGGGTGGGTCTAACACTTGCAAGAACGAATGAAGCATTTTTGCATTCTCCTTTCCTGCTATCAAAAAGTGGGGTGGCAGCAAAAGGTTTTAGAGGGCCTTTAATGTGGTCTGCACTTCTGTGGACTGGAATTTATGACACTGGATGTGTGAGGCTGATGCTGCTCCTTAGGTACAATGACTTGGAAATAAGTCTTTTAAGATAGGGCTGCACAAATTGTGGCCCAGATGTTGATGACATTCCACTCACAATGATCCCTCACCCAGGCTGTTTGGAGCTGATGGAATCTAGAGTTTAACACTGTATGGAAGACAGATCAGGCCAAAACAAAAGAAAAATAAAATGGGAAGACAAAAATGTGGCGCCTTAAAGACTAACTGCCATATTTTAATGTGAGGTTTTGTACACAAGTCCACTTCCTTAGACATGAGAGTGGGACTACTTGGCCAATATTTATACATTTATGCACAACCCCAAAACGAGAAGAGGTCCCAAAAGAGCAAGGTCCTTGTTTTGGGGCCATGTATAAATATTTGCCATGTAGTTTGTTCAAAAAAACTCACATTAAAATACAGCGGTTAGTCTTTCAGGTGCCACTAATTTTTTGTCTTCTTTTTTTCCTTTGTTTTGGCCTGATATACTAGCACAGACTAACACAGTTACCTCTTCTAAAACTACAGCTAGGGAAGGGAGAAGTTCGCCAGTCCCATTTTAAGCCAATGTCTTGTATATCTACAGTATAAATTAAAAACAGATAGAGAAAGAAAAGTAGTTACTTTCCTGGACTACAGCTCCCAACCTCCCAACTAACAGTCATGTTTGCTAAGAAATTCTGAGACTTGTAGTCCAAAAAAGTAACATTTCCGGGCTCTGAAAAAAAAAAGGTAGATTTGACGAGGATGTACCTTCCAGAATGAAAACCATATTAGTATGTTGCAGTGAAAATGCTACAGGGTCCAGTAGCATTGGAAAAAGCCAGCAATTTTATTATGACAAATGCCTAGGCATATTGCCATATAAAAAACCTAACCGGGCGAAGGGTGAAATTAGAATTTCCGCCTGAAAATTTCCATCATTTCTCCAGCTACAATGGTGTTGGTACAACTGACAAGCCTGCCAACATCTGCAACATCCCTCTGCTGCTATCTTAAAGAGTGTTCTGAGCAGAAAGCAGATTTTAAATAAATCATAAATCAATGAATTGCTGCTAACCTAACCCTATTAGGACATATGAGAGTCAGCGTGCTATAATGGAAGGATGGGGGAATGTGTGGCCTTCCAGATACTATGGGACTGGAACTCCCATTATAGGAATAAAGGATCATAGGAAGCCACTTTCGAATGAATGAGACTTTTGGTCCCTTTTGTAGGCTGGCAGTGGCTTTCCACAGTTCAAGGCAGGATTCTTTCCTTCCTGGAGGTGCCAGGGATTGAGCCTGGAACCTTCTGCCTACAGAGCATTGTGGTCTACCATTGGACAGGCGGCTCTTTGTTCACATCAATCATTGCTGGATATCCTGGCTTTGGCTGATGGGAGCTACACTCCAGCAACATCTTTAAGACCACACATTCCATGCCTCTGGTGGAGAAGATACAATGCTAGACATGACTGCTGAAGAGGCACGTTGAAAGCTTCACTTGGGTCATGAAACAATAGGAATGCACTCGCCATCTCTTGGCCTGGTCTTGTAAGCGTGTTAAATGAAAGAAGGAACCTCTATATCCTGCTTTGAGCAACTTGAAGGGAAGGATAAAGGATAAACAGATAGGCAGAGAGACAAGCCTATGTATCTTCTTTGAATGGGAAGGCTATTCCCTTAAAGTCCTGTTGGGTGCTTCACATCTGACTGTCTAGTGTTTGAAGTGAGATGCTTTCTTTCTTTATTCATATTAGAAACAAAATTTAAAATAATGGATGTGTATGAAATATAGCTAAAATTAAAAACAAACAAAAATGTAAAGATAATTAGACTATATTTGACCAGAAATGGGCTACTTCAATAATGTTATCTTGGCCATTTGCTAGCTCTTTTGTCCACATGGTGGGGCATAAACTTATGCATGCACATAAGGTCCCTTGAGTGGTCCCATCTCAGCATAAGTGAGATGCTGAACTTGATGGGACTTTTAGTCCAATACAAGGTATCATTTTTTTACCTTTCTGCAAAATAAGAAAGATTTTGACCACTATGACTACTTTTCGGATAGGAAACTGTGACTGAGATACCCACATGCTCATGCCAAAACAGTGAAATCACAGGCGAGGCTAGGATCCAACAGGATATTTCTGCTGCTGACAGCCTGCCTCTAATAGCAGAACGGGAGGCAAATTGAGCCCCTTTCCAAAAGCCCCAAACTAATGTTCAAGTGGCAAAGAATGCTGCAAGAAAAGAGAAGAAAATTTTGGTGTGATAGCTAATGCAGACCGGAGTACCTCTGCCCAAACTGTAAGGCCATCCTGGCTGTCTGCGTGCTGAATTCCAGTCACCTTTCTTTATACTCTTGGGTTTTTCTAAAGAGCACTGCTGCTCTGAAAAGGAAGCTAAAACAAGAAAGAACAGATGATTAAGCCCCATGACTGGTTTACCTCCGCTGGCATGTGCCATTTTCAGAGCTTCCAGAGAAACAGCTGGAGTTATTTCCAGCTGGCAGACCACCACGTTGGCTTTAGAGATGACATGAGCAGCTCTCTTTAAGTCATCGAAATTCAGAAGCAAATTTGCTCCTGCCACAATGACAATGAAGTTCTGCCCTGAAAAATAAATAAATACATTCATTAATTCATTCATACATACAGTACGCACATAATTAGAACTAAATATACATGATTTTCCTCTGTCACTTGTCTCCTCTGTCAGAACTTATACAGCTCTCCATTTCAGTGAAGCATGCAGAGGAGAACATGCTGCTGAATTGTCGTCACATAATGCATTTTTTTTTGTGGTTTGACATTTTGTGAGGCTCAAGACTGTTCTGTGAAACACATGAAATAGGCTGGAAAAGTAAACTGTTCCATAGATTCCCAACCATTCAGTAAGAGGAAATTTTACCTGAAATTTGTCAGTGGACTTGTTCTTATTCCTACCATTTGAATGAAATTCAATGCATTACTCTTTACATGGCTCCTTAAAGAGTAAATGTCACTTCAGTTCATTTTTAAAGAATTTACCAACATTTACAAGATACTTTCCATTTTAAACAAATTTAATGTAGGAGAACAAAATGGAAAAACTATACCGTTTCCAGATCCACTCATCCAGATACTGCTTTAAAAGGATGCAGGTGAGTTGTGAATTCTTATCAAAAACAAGCTGAAATAAAACCCATACCTAGCTCTGCTCAAAACTGAAAGAACAGTATAGATTCCATATTGGCCTTACTTACCATTCTATTTACATGCATTTTTTTTTGTAATTCCATAGAGAAATTGGCCCAGTAAGTACTTCATCATCAGGGAATGCCCTTGATAGTGGCAAATGCCTGCATCTAGATCAGAGTTTAGAAAAGTTACGGTACTTTTCCAAACTATAACTCCCACAACTACTGGCCGTGCTGGCTGCAGGGTTCTGGGAGTTATATTCCAAAAAGTAACCTTTTTGAACACATACAAGAAGACTTTAACCAGCCACTATAGAAAACCTTATAAGAAGCTGGTTTAACCCATGCTTCATCCTACGCTTTATGTATAGTTCAAAGATTCTTGCATATAGTCTACAGAGAAATCAAATGTCATTTTATTTGTTAAAAAAGATTATGCCTTTCCAATGTACCTGAGTTTCCATAGCTTTTCATTTTAGGGGCAGGAAGGCTGAGTGTAAATGTTCATCAAGCCAAATTCTCATTATATCCTTGCCTAGTGACCCTGTTCATTTTACCCACTGATTTATCTTAACAGAAGCGAAAATAGGCCACTTTACGATGCTGGAGGTTCACTGCCTCGCCACCTCAAGATTATGCTTTTTGCCCCCAATTAAAATAAATTAAATTTACTAATGTGCCCCTAGAGAGCAAAGTCACCAGTTCTGAGCATCAGAAGCAAACAGGAAGAAGAAACATGTGAAGGTCAGTATCAGAAAACTCAAGGACGAAAGCGACATGTGATGGAAATGAGGCAAGAATGCTTTCCTGAATTCACACTATGCTTTCTGCAAATACTGTACATCAGTCTTTCCCTATCTTGGGTAACCCAAGTGTTCTTGGACTGCAGTTCCCAGAATCCTTCACCATTAGCTGTGCTGGCTGTAGTTTCTGGGAGTTTCAGTCCAAGAACACCTGGGTTACCCAAGGCTGGGAATCATGTTCTACATAGTTTTCAATATACAGTAGCGGTTAAAACTAAGGGAATTCATATAGGTTTCAGCATATTTTTCAGGAATGAAACAGGACCCATATGCAGGGCCTAGAATAGGGCAATGTAAGAATTCTTAAATAAAACATATAAATATGAAAGTATCCCTTATACTAGAATAATCCAATTGCTTAGCATTCCTGAGAAACTCAGTGCCAGCTCTGTAACAATCTGTCTCCAAACCTCTAGTCCCAAGCAGCCATTTTGGGATCATTTCCAAAAGCATGTTTCAGGCTAGATCTCAAAACAGAGTGGATGGGGTGCAGATGTTTTTGTGCTCAGTGATGGGAACGGCAACACACTTCCATAAACTTTAAACCCCAAGGCACCAATTGTACACAGTCTGGAGAACAATAAAAATCTCTAGTTTGAAAACTTTATTAGTGTCCAGGCATCAGTGCTGTGTTCTTCTACGACCCATCAATATGCAAACAATATGGCACGGCATTGAGGAAATACACAGCGTAATGACCTCACAACATAGCTAAACTTTACTATGTACTGCATCAAGAGTAAGAGGAGACCTTGACAAGGGGTGGCTGTTTTTAGCAACAAACTCCATTTCTCAAATCAATACCTACCACCCACCCTGAAAAAAAAGGTATATACTGTATTCTGGTGTAACGATTTCCATAACTAAAGACTTCCCCTTCCCAGTCTACAGTCCTGAGCAGCTTCTCAACAATGATGGTGTGATTCACAGGAGGCTCAGGACCTTAGGGGGAGAAATCAGAAATGTTTGGTTTCTGAAGAATCACTGCAACTGATGACATCATCAGCTTTATGGGGCTTAAATAACTTATGCAACAGGATTTCAGCCAAAATTTTGGTATAGTCTCCTGGATCTCCCCACAGGAGGCCCTTCCAAAAATTGCTGCAGCTGACGATGTTATCAGCCTTATGTAGTGTTTCAGAAGCACAAGATGACATGCTGGCATATTGGTCTCAGGAGCAATATGACTCTTCTGTCTTGGCTTTATCCTTAGATTGGACCCCTGAGGTACCTGCAAGGAACTGCCCCTCCTAGAAGTACTTATCCATTATTGTTAAAATTAAAATCTAGCTGGATTCCTTCATCTACATTCCCTGCCAATGCTAACATCCATGGTTGCCAATCATGAATGACTATGTGACAGAGGATTGGCTTAGCCTGCAAACAGAGTGACATTTTACAAACACAGTATTTTTCTTGAAAGGGTTTTCAAAGCGCCTTGCGTGCAAAGTGTGCCCCCCCCAAGAGAATGATAAGAATAACAGAATCATCTCACAGGGATGACTGGTTTATAAAGCCATCAGACTATTGAAATTATGCCTTAAATATTCTTGTTGAAGCTTACGTATGTTGTTTAAAGCCCAGGATTTTTTCTTTCCTTTCCTCACACATCCAGCAAAAGAAATATGCCCAACACAAATATGACAGTCAAGAGCTTCTGAGTTGTACCCATTACCTTCTGCATAGCTTTCTAAGAACTTACATAGGAAAAAGCTGATTAGAGCAGCTACTTCAAAGGTGGAGATCAGAGATGGCAAATATAACTTTTTTGAACTACAATTCACAACCATCCCCAGCCAATGATAAACTTTTCATATCTCTGGTGAATATAGCATTAATGATCCAGCTTTTGAAGATGTAGCCATGTTAGTCTCTGCAAGCACATCAGACAAACAAAAAGCCAAAAGACAAAAATGTCTTTGAGGTGGCATAACATTTTTGTCTCTTGGTTTTGTTTTGTCTTGTCTGATATACAGCATTACTGAAACATTAGTTCAAGAACTGCTGGATAGCGCAGTGGTTTGATCTCTGGCTGTGGAGCCAGACATTCGGAGTCTGATTCCCGACTATGCATCCTTGACAGGGTCTGGACTCATTGATCCATAGGGTCTCTTCCAGCTCTGCAGTTGTTGTTGTTGTTGTTGATGATGATGAACAGAAGCAGATCAATGATGGCCCTCCAGAGGTTAATGGGAAATACCTTGAACCATCCTTAACCACTGGTCAGGCATATATGGGTTATTGGAAACTAGTTCACTAGATCTGAAGTGAATAATACCCACTGCAACATTTTTCCAAACTTAAGAAGTAAAAAAAAAACCTGGTAAGTGGAATCGCACTGAAGTTCCATCCAGATTTAGCAATTAACTCACTGTTCTGTTTGTTTTTTAAAAAGGAAAGAAAAGAGAAGAAAAAGTAGAGAGAAGACAATTTTATTATGAACCGCCCTGAGTAGACATAGTCTAAAAGGGCAGGATAAAAATCCAATAAATATATAAATAAATAAAATTAGCAAGGACAAGAAAAAGCACCTTAAAAATTAAATATGGGCATTAAATAGGGGCATTAAAGATATGGAAAAGTTGAAGACTACATCTCTAGAATGTGATGTGTATGCAATTCCCATGTTATTTAATTTTTCAAACAGCCCAGGCATGCACACACGTATTAAGAAGTAAGCCCCACTGCATTCAAGAAGACTTTCTCCAAGGAAGGCACATACAAGAACTGCAGCTTGAACTAGGGAAGGAGACAAAAAGTTGCCACTTTGGACATTTCTCTTCGAGCAAATTTTCTATCCTTGATTTTTATATTAATATTTGCTTTTACCATGAAAGTTTCTTCACTGGCTCTTAACATGCCAATATTTTAGTGTTCTGAAACCACTTGGGCCTATTTACTTGCTTTAACTGAAAAAAAATCTTTGTTATAGCTAACGATCTCATTGCTTTTTCAGTAAGTCAATTGTGCTAATGGGATCAGACAGCTAACTAACACATAAAATATCTTGAATAAATGCAATAAATAGGTGTACTCTGAGTGACCTAAGCAATACATGTCTTAATGGTGTTGAAATCTCCAAAACATCAAGTAGATAAATAGATTAGCAAGCTCCATTTTGTAAATGTCACTCAATCTGGAATGGCCAAGTATTGCTATGAGACCACAGTCTGGGAAGTTTTTGGATTCCAGACCTCAGAATCCCCCATCCAGTAGGGGTGGATTCTGGGAGCTGTAATCCAAAATGCCACCGCTGTTGAACCTCTGTACCAGAGAAGTAGTGATCATGCTATGGCACAAACATTTAGCTACAAAGAGTGTTCTGCTTATACATATACTGTTTCACAGCTTAAAGCACTCTCTGGGCAGTTTACAACTTAATTATGCAGGCTACACATTTTAGGTACTCATTTTACTATGAAAGGATGGAAGGCTGAGTCAACCTTGAGCTGGCTACCTGGGATTGAACCCTGGGTTGTGAGCACAGTTTTGGCTGCAGTACAGTAGTTCAACTACTGTGCCGCGAGGCCCTCTACAATCATAACAGCTGCTGCAGGATTTTGTGTACTGTTTTCCAAACAATCTTTCTACAGTGAACAAGAAATAGCAGCTCACTAAGTGACAGTGTGTAAACACTCAAGATTAAGTTGTGGGTGTAAATCTGTATGAGAGCTCCTCTTATGTACCAGCTGCATGCACCCTGTGATTTGCAGCGGCTGCCAAGTTTATTAAGCTAGCACGCACTAGATTCAGGTAACCTTTTTCCATTCCTCTCTAGAGACAAAGTATGTGTACGGCACATTTTTTCTTTAAAAAGCTTTTTGCTGGTGTCAAGGTACACTTAAGACTTCTGTACTTCAGCTTTGGCAAGCACAGAAAAACGTATGACTTCAGCTTGCATGCAATGATTAATGAATGGCAAAAGATCCAGTTAAGCTGAAGCAAGCGTGTGCCGGTTTCCAAATGTTTGGAGAAGGGGCAGCTAATCTGTCAGAGGTGATGGCCTTTAGGTAAAGCTGTAACTAGCAATTTTGGCACCTGCAGCAAAGAGTGGAAAATATACCCCAGGTCTACTCTGAAATTCAGGATATGAAAGTAATACAAGAAATAAGTATAGCATTGAATACCAGCTGCTGGTCCCCCACAGTGGACCAGCAGCGCATCAAAGCGGTAAAAACAAATCAAAAGTATTTATCGATTGAACAATCAACATACACAACATACACACTCACATATAAGTACGTACTTATCTTGTTTGTCAAACCATAATGAGCTGACTTTCTGTACTGCCCAGCCCAGAAGCCTAGTCTCATGAGACATAAGTAGACTCACCTTCCAGCCCTCCAGCTGAATGCTGCCTACTTCTCAAGTTCAGGCAGGAGCCTGAGTAGACCAGCCCTCCACTGCCTCAGTGAAGCCTGGTACACTGCCTACCTGTTCTCTGCATTTCCTGGCAGCCTGACCTACTGGACCAATGGGCTACTGAAAACTGGCAGGCACCTCAGAGCCTAGACTACTGCCGTCTGCTCCTATGACAATCTTCTACCGCCTGACGAGTCTTTGAAGTCTGGAAGACAAAGTATGCCCTCTAGTTTGCCCTGGTTGCCTTGCCTCACTATAACAATCTCCAAGTTCTCAATCCAATGTTCCACAGTAAGAACAATGCTACTTATTGGGCATTATGAAAAAGTAAAATGTAGGCTGACTTTCAGACTTGGCTCCCAGAGATCTCTGCAGGCAGATACTAGCACAGCTGTGGACCTCTGCTGAGGTGCTAGAGCCCTGACAGCTGCTCATCACATACTGGTGCAAGGCTTCTTATGTCTATTGCCAAATCATGGCACTCTCAATTAAATGAGATCCTTTCAAGTTCTGAGCTACAACTTGTCACCATTAGAGAGAGCTGCCAAATCTAAGCAGAAATAGAAGCCCTGTCCATTTCTTGGACAACCATCTGTCACATCTGTTTTGAATTGGATCTTTGCATTCAGCAGGGAGTTGGACTTGATGGCCTCTTCCAACTCAGTTACTCACCAACTCTATGCTAATCTGTGTGTGTCTTAGGAGCAAATCTTTGCTAGGTTTCCTTTGGGAATGCGCATGAGGCAATGGAGTGCTGTCCCTGGTCTTGAGAAATCAGTCCTGAGCAGCAAGGTCAGGCTATCACTACTACTTAACTGAAATAAACATGCCTTCTATTTTGCCAATTGATCCTTTGCTCACACTTAACAAGAATTGGCCTGAGAGAAAAGAGTCCTGTGGAATTTGATCAAGGATAAAAGGAATCAGCCACAGATCAGCTACTCTTACTCTCCCCCCACCAAAAAAAAACTTGTGTGGATGTTTTTGTATGATTGTGTAACAAATAATCTATGCTTTACAAGCAGAAAAGCTGATCCATGTGATAACCTTCAGAAAGCATCTGGAAAGAAAGACACCACAAGGAAGGATTAATGTTAATGTTGCCGGGGCCTGCTCAGATCCAAACCCTCCACTGTTTCAAAATGAGTAGCTGGAGCTCTTCATAGTTTCAGGCATTTTTTTCCTCAGCCTAGATGCCCCCAATCACTTAACTACAGATGCTATGAATAAAAAATGGAAGGTAATACAAACAAATCATAAGATCTACCACTTCCCAAGCTGTGATAGTTTTTGCCCAAGCTGGCAGGTCTCCATGTTGACTGGGATGATGAGAATCATCGACAAACACATCAGGTCAGAGAAGACCTAACCAACAATACACAAGTTCATATTGATCTGGTTTCACTTTGGTTTTACTTGAATATGGAATCCTATGAACACTAACTTCAGAGTAACTTATACTAAATACAAGACATATTTCTTACTCCGGGGCAAATAAGATAGGGCTGTACTGGCTTGTTTACTTTGCTGTTTCTAGTGATTCTTTTTCTCAGGCGATGGGAACACTGCAAAATCTTTCTGTGAGGTTTGTGAGAAAAAAACAGAACATGAGAACACAGATTTACTAATTGATGAAATGTTTTTTTAAAAAAGACAGAATTCTACCACAAAAAAAGAAGTTTAGTCCTGTTCTTTGTATCAGACAGTAGCACCCCATGCAGTCCTGAGAGGAACTGCAGTTTTCAGATAACATTAAAAAAACGTTTCTGTAATGTGTGTGGCTATTTGAAGGCATCCCCCATTTGAAGGACTCTTTGGTCCAAAAGCAGTTCAAAGACCTGTAGGAAGGAGAAGCAGAGGCCTTGAAGTGATCACTCAGGTTAACAGCAAGCACCTGAATGACAAGCCAAATAGACATACAGGTTGCTTGGTAACCGTTTCCCCACAATAGTGAGATCTATTGCTTTCTTATTAACTGCAGTAACCATTCCTTAATTTGCATCCATAATGAACAAATCAGCACATCAGATTTTGCTAGTCGCATCCTCTTCTGTCCCCGTTTGGTGATGCATTTTCTATTTCTTGGGTAATGCATAAATGGCTGCCTTAAACAGAGGTCCACGCAAACATATGGCCAGTAGTACAGGAAAGTTTATTCCTCAAGGCTCCTGGAGAAGTACCTGCATTGTCGACAACAATTGAAGCAGCTCCAGTGGCAGCAGCATCCACTTGACCTACAAATTCTAAGAAAAGGTAGGGAAAATTGAGATGCAACATTTTGGTACAGCTCATACAATAAACCTAAAAATGAAACATGAGGCAATCTACATGGGTGAAAATTATATTACAGTACTAACTACTTCATGAGCAGTAATGGTGGAGGGGGAGGACCACGTAAGTGTGAAATTATATATGTAAGGCTGGAAACTTAAGGTCCATGTTAATTTATTATTCCATCTCAACTTCAATGAAAGTTGAACTTCTAACACTGATTTCACCAGAAGCTGCAGCATTCATACTGGCTTATTTATGTCACGACAAACATTCATTCATTTCACCTACTCATTTTATTTATATTTCACCTTGCTCCCAATGGGACCAAAAGCAGCTTAGAAAATATTTCAAATACAAATATTAACAACTTAAAATGCAATAAGTTACAACAGTAAAAGTTTAAAAATATTACATATTAAAGCTCCTGAATAAAAAAGTTTAAAGCAATTGAAAAGTACATTTAGAAAGGTAAAATGTGTAAGACCCCTTCTTACAAACAACCCTTCCTCTATAGCTAGTTACTTACTAAAATGAAAAGTCTTTGTTGGTGAAGGACACCTGAGAATGAAGTTTCACATCCTAGGAGCAGAAGGCCCTCTCTCATGTTCCCACTAGGTAGCCCTGTGAGAGTGACAGAACTGAGAGAACGACCTCCCCCCAAATATCTTAAAACCCAGGGAAATATGGAGAAATGTCAGATCGCTTTGACCCAGGCTGTACTGGGCTTTATAGGTCAAATCCAGTTCCTTTATGTGATTATGATGGTCTACAGTGGTGCACATTCAAAATTTCCCAGGCCTCTATAGGAAAGGTATCACATATGTTCTTCTTAGCTCAATTAACAGACAAAATATAAGAACAGAATCTTGATGAGGTCAGGCTGACAACAGATGCATACTTACCCACAATGCTTAATGGGGTTTACTTTATAACCTATCTTGGGTAGAAAAAATACTTACTTTATTTGTGCCTTTCTTGAGTTTCCTGCCAGTCATATAAGTACACTGAGAAACTATGACTCCTAGTATTAGATACCCAGGAGTGGTCAGAATGTGGGCCTGTGACTTGAAAGACAGAGGTTCTAGTCCCCAGTTTGTCATGAAACTCAGTAGATGCCTTTGGGCCACCTAACTGTCCCCCACCCCAAATTTTTTGTGGGGAAAAGAGCCATGTATGCTGCAAAGAGCTCCCTGGAGGAAAGATCACGGTGTACCTAACAAACAAACAAATATTATGAGAGTGGGAAGGAAAAATAGATTCCATTTACTCTCTAAGCACCTTAGAATTCTACGGATACCCTATGCCTCACCATGCCTACTTTCTCTGGAAGCAAGAATATCTGGACAGAAACATCAAACTGGCGGGCTGTATGTGGGGAACAAATCCAACTTGTCTGTTGTTCCTGGCAAGCTGGCTGGCTGGCTGAGTGAGTGAGTAAGGTGTCTGGATGTGGAGCCAGAGATTGGGAGTTTAGTTCCCCCCTGTGCATCCCAGAAGCGTCAGACTCTTTAGCCTCGGGTAAGATGCACAGTCCCAGGATGGCCTCTGGAAGAAGAGAATGGTCAACCACTCCTCTCTACCTAGAAAACCCTGAAAAAGGTTGCCATGAGTCAGAACTGACTTGAAGGCAGCCAATCATCATAATCATCATCATCATTCTTGCTAAAATCACACCTGAACTTTTCAGCAACAAGCACTAACTCACAACTGCACAGGTGGCTACTTTAATTTGTTTTAACGGTCAAAACAATATGTCGAACAGCCACTTAGATACCATAGTCCACAACTAACTGAGGATTGGTTTGTTTGCACTACTGCCATTTGCCTACTAAGCTTTTCAGATTGAACAAAATAATTATAAATGTCTGCTCACATGCATGGGCTATACCTTGATCCTATCCATGTACACAAGGAAACAGGTCTCATTGTGTGAAGTGGGACTTAACTCCCAGGCAAGTAGGCACACAATTTTAGTCTAAAATGAATACATGTAAACAAATGGCCCAAAGTGTGTTGAATATTATCAACACTAATGCAAGTGTTGGGATCACTGACTTAAACTCCACTGTTACTAGAGTATGCTAACATAATGGCCCATAACATGCATTCGAGCCTGAATTCACATCTAACATATAGGCCTGATGATGGTTTGTATCATCTCCCATTGATTCATCTTGGAGTTCTTCTGCAAAAACTTTGGCCCAGTAATAGCACATTTGAGGGCCTCAGTTTCAGCCATGGAAGGACTGAGAAAGAATCTCATCTGAAACTTTGGAAAGCTGCTGCTAGGTCACTGTAGAAGAGGGATGGGTAACATGGCTCTCCAGATGTTCCATTAAACTTAGCCAGCATTGCCAGTGGTAACCAGCAATGAAAGTTGCAGTCCAGCCACATCTGGTGAAACATAACCTCCTTGCCCCTGCTTCTAACTATACTGAACAAGATAGACTAATGGTCTGACTTAGGATAAAACAGCTTTATGCACTAGAGTTTTGCACATGTACATATTAATGCAATTTAAATTAATCTGTATGTTATTCATTCGGCTGTTTTTATGTGGTTTGGAGACTGTAATAAATTCTTGATTGACCATCTGATAAGGCCACTTTCAATGTTTGCCTAATTGAAAATGATTACCTCAACAGTATTGCAGAGACAAGTGAAGAGATAAATGATTAATTGAATAGCAATCCTTCAGATCAGCAATTGAACAAACAATGATATTTAGTTTTACATATTGCACAACCCATGAAAAGATGAACAACTTAAGACTGCTTGCAAGAAGAGACATGAAATAAATGCTTTTGGTTAGCTGAAATCAGTTGGGCTTTGTTTGCAAACCTATGCATACTTGTTTGGGACAAAACTCCATAAAATAAATAAAACCAATATTGTACAGCCGCCCAAAGTGGTAGAATATACTAGATGGGCGGGATATAATCAAATAAATAAATATAAATAAATAAATACAGTATTAGGAAAAAAATGTGCACACAAAGGCAATCATGCAGTAGTTTTCCCATTATGACTTGTTGTCTACTGAGCACCTGCTTGGATGTGCAACATTTCCCCTGAATCAATTTAGAAGAGAACTACAATAGCCAGCCAACAGCACTGTGTGAGACCAACAGGATTCTAGCCATTGAGACTCACTGTTCTGTAACAAGCATAGGTCTGCCTTCCCAAACATTTTTATATTTTCCTGAATTCTGCCCGTAGTGTTGGAGTGTGGGAAATGCTTGCTTTCCAGATGTTTTAGATTGCAGCACTCACAATCCTTTACTATTGGCCACATTGTCTGGGGAGTTGAAATCGAAACCATGTGGAGTGCCAATAGTTCCATGCCTGTGACCTATGTCAAATCATGTCCTATTATTACACAGATCAATATTAAGAGATTGTAGATGCAAAACTGTGGTGGAATGATGGTGGAATGCCACAGACCCATAAGCATGTTCATGACACCAATATACTAATTTCCCTGTCATACTTCATGTTCAGCCACTATACAGCACCATTCCTGCAGCTTAACAATTACTATAGCCAGTGGATATATGCAAGCAAATTTGTATAAATCATTTCTCAGTTTTCCTTGTATATTTGAAAAAGCCAAATGAAAGTTACTGGCCAAAATCTTGTTCAGTTTTTGCACTCGTATAATGATACCGGTGTAAATCTTGTCGGAAAATACCACAGGTTAAGAAATTAGAGCATGCATGTTGGATCATGCTACCCAGCACACAACAGTTAATTTCTTAATGTGTGGCGATTTGCCAATGATATTTATACAGAATTATGCACGCCAGCACAAGTAATAGGATTTCAACCAAAAGCTAAAATGTGAAACATATACCTGTAGGAATCTTATTCTTCTTGAAGTTTTCAAGGTAATCATTACCAAATGAATCCTTCCCAACCTGCACAGGAAAAATTAACAATAGCAGATTGTTCATTTCAAGCTCCCTATCAATTGTATACATGAGGCTTGTGAAAGTAAGAAAGTTTGCAGGAGGCAGTACAAATCAGGAGCATATTTTAGTGTGAAAAGTCCTCCAAGCCCAGTTCTGATACTGCAAGTAAAGTGTCAGCTCTGTGCCACAAAGCACCCTATCCCTTAGGTCAACAATAAGTGTATCTGTCTTAAGCCACTGTTTTGCTCCTGACTTAAGTTGGTGGCCCTTGAAATTCTAATTTAAAATTAAAAAGTCTGGAACCCTTGATATATCTATGTTCAAGAGGGGCAAATACACCTTGTATCTGAAAATGAAATGTGTCATAAAATGAATTTGCTTTGCAAACACAGTTAACATTGGGAGAGAGTGAGGATTCCTTTAACACAGAATAATCCAGTTTTGTTTTTAAAAATGACACGTCTAATAAGATAAGATGGGATTGTCAAAATTCAGTTTCCAACTATATTAGCATTATAGATCCATACACTGTTAATATTTTTTTAAAAAAAACAGTACTGTTATTAGTTTAGCAGGACTCCAAACCCTTCCAGAAACTATATCTGATATGCCTATAACTTTCCTTAGGATGCCCAGCCTAGGTTCAAGAGTTGTGATTTTCATTCAGTTCTGGTATACTGTGAAACTGATTAGAATAAACAAGGCTCATGGGGAGAGGATGACAATGCTGGGTGGCCTGTTAAATTTGGAAGCAGTTTCAGGATTCCCATAGATTCTTTGCCAAGAGTCTCTCTGCAAATAATAATTAAAACATTGACATGGGTCATACTTTCTAAGCTCCATGGAAAAAGCAGAAAATTAGGGAAGTGGAAATTTTTGAGAAGCACATTCGATGGAGCATACTTCTGCTTCAGACTATGCAAAAGCCTTTGACTGTGTGGACCACGACAAACTACGGCAAGTTCTTAAAGAAATGGGAGTGCCTGACTACCTTATCTATCTCCTGAGAAATCTATATGTGAAACAGGAAGCAACAGTTAGAACTGGATATGGAAAAACAGAGTGGTTCAAAATTGGGAAAGGAGTATAAGGCTGTATATTTTCCCCCTGCTTATTTAACTTGTATGCAGAATACATCATGCGAAAGGCTGGACTGGATGAGTCCCAAGCTGGAATTAAGATTGCCAGAAGAAATATCAACAACCTCAGACATGCAGATGATGCCACTCTGATGGCAGAAAGTGAGGAGGAATTAAAGACCCTCGTAATGAGGGTGAAAGAGAACAGCGCAAAAAATGGTCTGAAGCTCAACATCAGAGCAGGCTGGTCCCATCACCTCCTGGCAAATAGAAGGGGACGATATGGAGGTAGTGACAGATGTCTTGGGCTCCAGGATCACTGCAGATGGCGACAGCAGCCACAAAATTAAAAGAACCTGCTTCTTGGGAGGAAAGCAATGACAAACCTTGACAGCATCTTAAAAAGCAGAGACATCACCTTGCCAACAAAGGTCCGAATAGTCAAAGCTATGGGTTTTCCTGTCGTGATGTATGGAAGTGAGGGCTGGACCATAAAGAAAGCAGTCCGCTGAAGAATTGATACCTTTGAATTGTGGTGCTGGAGGAGGCTCTTGAGAGTCGCCTGGACTGCAAGGAGAACAAACCTATCTATTTTGCAAGAAATCAACCCTGAGTGCTCACTGGAAGGACAGATCCTGAAGCTGAGGCTCCAATACTTTGGCCATCTCGTGAGAAGAGAGGACTCCCTGGAAAAGACCTTGATGTTAGGAAAGTGTGAAGGCAAGAGGAGAAGGGGACAACAGAGGATGAGATGGTTGGACAGTGTCATCGAGGCAACCAACATGAATTTGACCCAACTCCGGGAAGCAGTGGAAGATAGGAGGGCCTGGCGTGCTCTGGTCCATGGGGTCACGAAGATTCGGAGACGACTCAATGACTAAACAACAACAACATAAATCTATGGTCAGATGTGAAACCAGAAGGTATTTAGTCAGTACCTACCTTGCAGATCATGAAGGTTTTAGCGCCAAGTCGAGCTGCCTGTATGCACTGGTTGGCACCTTTTCCACCAAATCCAGTGAAAAACTTATGCCCATGAACGGTCTCTCCTGCTTTTGGCAGGCGTTTGGTAAGACTGTTGATATAAAAAAAGAAATATATTTTGTGTGAATTGACAGCTGAATTTCTTAGCATAAGATTTACAGACTTCTTGCTATGCCCACAAATTACAGATCCACAAAATACAGCAGCACAGAAAGCATTCAATAGGGATGAACTCCCTCACTATAAATATCTCAAGTCTTGCTTTTCAAAGCTTCTCTGTGTTTATAACTGCCACAAATAAAAGAAGGCCTTGCTTCTTTTTTTAATAACCTTGGACAGATTAATAAAAGGGAAAGGTCAGACAGGGTAGACAGGTCATAGCAAAAGATGAGCAAAAGGGGTGGATAATCATATTTTAAAGTTTCTATGTCTCAGGGCTGTTGAAGACATTTTGAAGATCGCTCATTCATAGGATCACCAGCAGCTGGAATCATAGAATCGCAGATTAATGGAGTTGGAAGGGGCAAATAAGGCCATCGAGTCCATCCCCCTGCTCAGTGCAGGAATCCAGATCAAAGCCGATCTGACAGATGGTTATCCAATGTTCTCTTGAATGTGGTGGAGGATTACATATATAAAATCCACATTATTGCATACGTAAAGCTCACTAGGAGGACCAGTGGGTTGGGTAACAATTCCACTAATATGTAAAACTTCAGTAGTGAAGAAAATCACTCTCTACTTTCTTAACTCTTATCTTGGGGTTCAACAATACTGTATTCAAATTTCTGATGATAAAACCAGCAGCACAACTTATGTAAAAATTATAGCCACACAGACACCTCATGAATTTGGGGATTACTGGTAGAGTTGTGTTTTTTTAATCACAGCTTCCAGAATCCCTCCAAAACTTGGGCCATTATGGCTACCTACAGAGTTCTGAAAGCTGTAGTCTACAAACACAAATTTGTTCACCTCTAATGCTGGATAACTGCAGTCTTATTGAGTTGTTATCCACCTAGTTATTGAAATTAATTCCTGCTTCTAAACTCCAACATGAGAAAGGACATGGGAAGTCTGAGTTCCTGATTACACAAGAGCAGGTGTGTAGAGTGTTACATACAGCACTGATGTTACTCAAATTAATTTAAATCATAATTTAAATCATGATTTAAATCAAATCAATTTATTTTTATATTTTAGATTATATAATTCTTTAAAATTCAAATCAAATTCACCCTGTCTACACATGACCAGGAACTTCTCTTCAGACAAGTCACTATCCACATGGAAAAAATTATGACACACAAGAGAAAGGGCTAATCTCCTCTCAAGGCATGTTGATATAAGAAATGGCTAAGTGTCAATGAAATATAGGGCTAATGATACAGTATCTGTATCTCACAGCTGCAGGACAGACTTGATTGGGAACACTGGGAAGGTACAATTACAGTTCAACATTGTATGGTATTTGTATAAAACAGCCTGCACCTTAAAAAGAAAATAAATGCATACATGGTTCACCTTTTTATCACAATATATGCTCAAGGCATTCTCAACAAAGCTCATAAGGTACAGATGATCTTCCTAACTGATCAGGCAACAACTGAACTAGACAAGCCTTCTAAGAAAAAGTCATGTGTCCTAGAAGAAACTGTGTGAAAGAAACTGACATGAAGAGAAAAAGGTGCCTGGACTGTTAACGGGCACCATGTCCCAGACGGTCAAGCACATGCAGCATTATTGGCACAGTCAGCCAAACACATCTGTAGACAACTACAGTACTAGGCTATGCTGAACTTTTCTACCCTTCTTATCACATTTCAAAGGTAAGGCAGGGCACTCTTAGCTGGCAGTGCCTCTTTTTTTCATCTCAAGAAGTACAGCTTGCCTAAGTTGTTATCTGTTTGGATGCTTCTGGAAGCATTGTGAAGAAACTCTACAAAATCTTGAGCATTGCACCTTTTGTGTTGAGCTTTGCCCCAGTGCTGGGAGTGTACAGGTTCCTAAAAACCTCTGTGCTTGTAGGAGCGGTGTCACAACAGTAAGGAAGCTCTTAAGCCAAAAAGGCATTTGTGCAAGCCTTCCCCACTTTTAATTTCTGCAACCATTTATCATCACCATATATGATAAATTAATATTATGCTACTACTGTATACAACCACTTTCAAGTCTGACTGGCAAAGCTTTGAGTGGAGCAGACCTTAGGTTAAGATACTCTGCTTTCTGCCTTTTCCTCAGCCATAGCCTGAGAAAATGGCTGCTGCTGGATGATAAGTGAATTAGGAGCCTGGTAAAGCTGGCCATCAGCTGATGCGAGGGTTGCAAAGCTAATGGTAAAAGAATGGAAATATCTGAACTGTGTGAAGAAACACTGGAGAATATCCACAGGGATGAAAGGGGGAAATCACTGATGATTCGCCAAGAAAACACCAAGAATATCATACATCCAGGAAGCTAAAAGAGATGCTTAGTACTTTGTATAAATATAATGATTGTCAAAGGAAATCTCCATCAAGGAAATGGGCCCAGAGTTTTTCTCTCTACTTTCTGTCATTCTGGTTTTTTTTATGCCTGATAAAGTAGACTGTAAACGAAGAAGAGATCATACTGAAATAAATCAGTTAGCCTTTAAAGTGCCGCAACTTTCTCGTTTTTATTTTGTTACAGACTAACAAAGGTACCTCATTAAATTTTTTCTTTCTATTTTCTTGTCCCTGTTTGGGGTGCATAAATTAACCTTACAAACATACAATCCTCAGTTAAACACTATAAAAGTCATTTGATGCAAATGCAGTAAAAATCATTTGATACAAACACCGGATTTGTTCTCTGTTGTCCCCTCTCTTGCATTGTTGTCATAATTGTTCTTAGCACATTCCTCTTCCCCTTGTTAACATCAGTTGATATAGGGGTTGGAATATTAACTTTTTCTTAATTTTGTTTGTATTTTTGCAAAGTCAGGCACTTTCCCAAGCATGCTTCTCTGTGCACGGGTGCTGCAGTTTTGGACAGCCAAGGACCCACATTCCAGGTAAAGCCTTGCTGTTAGTACAAAGCATCTTGTACCCCATAAAAGAAATTAAATGAAATGTTCTCACTAGTTGATTTTGCATCTTTAACATGCACATTGATTGCTACAGAACTGATAAGGAAATGTAACAGGGGTCTTGAATGGAAAACTGATACAAAACGTGGTACCCAAGCTGTTTAACATACCAAGACTTTTTAAGCACAAGTTTTCAAATGACTAGGGAGCATATTGATTTGAAGAAAACACTTAATAACCAAGGAAACGGGCAAAAGTACTGGCAAGCAAACATGCTAAATGCCACATGGCAGAAGATGTTTACACAGGACTTTGTTCCTGGCAAAAGGAAAAAAAGTTACAAGGGTGTTGACAACACAGCACAATGTTCAGTTTGTGAATATCTTGAAAGATGACAAGATGGAGTAAAAACCTTGCAGGGGATCCAAAGGGTGTATTTCAGCCTCTAAGGTCCAAAAAATATGATGCCAAATAGGAGATGGAGAGGGGAAATCATCTGAGAAACTTAACCATGATGGGATCTGTCAGAATATACAATATAATTTTTTATTCATTAGCAGCAGGAAGCTTTTCGTATATTTGGACTAGGAGAGGACTGTACAAGATTATTTTACAGTGAAAGCAATAAAGAGACTTGTAACACCTTAAAGACTAACACATTTTATTTGGCATACAATAGTCATAGTTTGTAACCACCTTTGTCAGATCCATGGAATGTTACCTGCATATGCAGAGATGTATACACATGCTTTGGGGAAATGAAGGCGAAAGAAATGCGAAAGTTACAGACACTGATGATACAGCAAAAACAGGCGAGCCACTCTTCGACCTGGCAGAGAGGCTCATCCTTCCGCCTTCCGTCAGGAGTGGCTAATCCATCACGAGCTCCAGAGTGGTAGGAACGGCGTGCGGAGCTTGCAGCATCAGTGGAATCATGAGTGGACAGTCTGGTCCAAGGGGACCAGCCCCTTGTTCTCTGCACCTGTGGGGGGGATATTCGTATACAAATACCCCGATCTCTAATACTAACCATATCCTTAACTCAGTGCCTGCTTTCTGCAGCCCAGTATTTATTCTGCTCCTAGTCCCACCTGCCTTTAACATTAGAACAGTTTTATTCCTTTTTATTTATTAAAATTTTTACATCCTGCCTGTGTATAAAAGTGTCATTTACAGCAGCTGACAATACTGTATGGAAATAGGATGATTTTGTAAAAAGACCAATTAATTAAGGAATATAGGTCTAATGTGGTCTTGTGCTAACAGCAGTGGATTAGGGCTCAGGAGACCCAGCCTCAAATCTCAACTCAGCAATGGAAACTCACTCAGGGATGGCAATGGCAAACCTCTCTTTGAATATTTCACCTATCTTGAAAGCCCTGTTAAGGTCAACCTAATGTGGAAGCAATTTGATGGCACAAAAACAACAATTATGGATTATCAGTCTTACTACTGAAGTCAGTGAGATGCTTCCTAAGGTGTTTAGCACTTCCTAAACACTATCAAAGGCTTGGTCTAAAGCTAAGTGAATTAAGTGGTAGTTTGGACTGCACCACCTCAAGTTGCCGATGTAAATGGCATTTCTGAATGCTACACCCTTTAAAAACAGTTTTAAAAAATAGTAGACCAGGGAGAAAGTGTTTAGAATAATTCCTCCATTGCTGACTTGTTTTCCTTCCTACCTGAGGTCACGTCCCATCCTTTTTCTTTTACAGTGGGGTATTGACTTGAGAACTTAATGCATATTGGAAGGCGGTTCTCAAGTAAAAAAGTCTGTAGGTCAAGTCTCCATTGACCTACAGTGCATTGAAAACCGATTAATCCCGCAACAGGCTGTTTTTGTTCCATTTTGGTTTTTTTCTGGTCTGTAAGTCAATTCTCAGTCTGCAAGTCAAACCTAAATTTTGCGGCCAGAGAAGTCTGTAACTCAAAAAGACCTGAGGTCAAGTCCCAACCTTTTTCTTTTAATGTGGAAAAGCCACTGAAAATCTGGAAATCATTCTGCTCTCTAATTCTGTTGCATATGGGGACCAAGCCCAGCG